TGGACACTCTCTGGCCAGACTTCATCCCTTCGGACCCGCTTAGGCTGGACTTGGGTCGACTTATGACCGTCGGCGTCCCTTAAAGTCTCCCGGCAGAACAGTCCTATATTTTTGAGCTTTTTTCGGTTATGGAAGTACGGCCCCATTCGAAATACAAATTCACCTTCTGCAATTCATAAGCAATTTGCCTGGTTGTTGATTTTAGACTGGAAAACAAACTGCTGCAGGACCAACAACATAAATTTACGCTCCCTGTGCGCTGTTGCGAAGGATGATTTACCGACTGCTTAGGAAAAAAACAAGAGGTATATCAAGTGACTAAGAAATTGAGCTGTACACAGGGTTACATGATAAGAACGATAGGAGAGGCGCAGGCCAAATGTAAAAAAATGTGTTTCTAGCGGCTTGTGTGATGCAGCGGCCTCCTACTTGACCATTTTGGCCGCCGCGGGCGGGGAAGAGACTACACCCTTCACATTGATGAGGGGAACCCTTTTACGGGCAGACAGGCGCGTAGGATCATGCGCGTAGGTTTTTGGCGCGGTCCCTAGACCAGCCTTTTGCCAGCGCTCGGCGTCTGCGCGTTCTCTGGCCTCCAGTTCAGCCAGCAATTTCGAGTTGTGCATCGCTGACGGCAAAAAGAAAACAGGAAGTTTTGAGATAGATAAATGATCTGAAATTAACAACACCCCCCTCCGGGATACAGTCAGCAGGCAGGCACAAGCTCTGGTCATAGCTTAGCCGAAAGGATGGCAGCAAGAAATATGCGAAAGTAGTTGTTTCATGACATCCACCTCTTTTCGTAAAAAAAAAACAGTCTATAAGTTCCCTCCAGCCTTAGCGCAGTGTGAGCACATGTGACAAAAGAGACCACTTAAATTGTCACACTGGCTTGAGGCATGCATTTAAATAAGCATGTAAACGCAGAATGCAAGGTTGCCCGTCAGCTCGTTCCCCATGCAGCTTCATGTGTTACTTGTGTGAAACGAGCCTGAGACTATCGCGGTTGCCCATGGCTGCGAAGGCAGCCAGCTGACGCATTCACCAGACACCCCATCAGCGCTCGATTTGGCAGATTTGCTTGATTTGAGTTAATTCAATTGTGAAAAACTCGAGGCGTTCGGTGGGATTTGAACCCAAATAGTAGAGAAGGCCTTTACCGAAATCAAATCCCGCCGAACGCCTCGGGTTTTTTACAATTTAGTCAACTCAAACTAAGCA